CGGCCTCGCCCCCTACCGCCTCCGCGGTGGCCACGCCTCCTTCCCCGTGCCCACCGCGGCCACGCCCGACGTGAGGCGCGAGAGCCGCCGGGCCGCCGGCGGCGGCCTCCGCGCGGGCCTCCCAGCCCGTATTCCACTCACTTTGTTCTCCGCCTTTGTCCTAATCCACACCAGCAGGTGGAGCCGCAGTTAAAGTTTCCGAGTCCATTCCGGGAGCGGGAGCCCATCTTGCTCACTGCCGAGGCTCTTGCTGGAGGAGGAGGGTCAGAGCTTGGGTGCAGCCAATCGCGGCCAACGCTGCTAGTTATCAGAGCAGAATGGGCTGTAGTTTAGTGAAATAGGAAAGCTGCAAAAACACTGGAGTGCTCCCGTGTAAATAAAAAGAGGAAAAAAAGTTTCTCAAGTCGCCACTGCACGACGTCGGGCCGGCGCCGGGGTGGGGGTTTGCGCTCTCCCGAGCGGCCGCGCGCTGGACTTTATTGTGCCGCAACAAGCCCCGTTCCCATTGTTTGTGTGTTTTTCAAAATATGGCAAAGGTTCAGGTGAACAATGTAGTCGTGCTGGATAACCCTTCTCCTTTCTACAACCCGTTCCAGTTCGAGATCACCTTCGAGTGCATCGAGGACCTGTCTGAAGGTGAGTAGCGGTCCCCGTTGCCCGCCCGGGCTGTCAGTTGCGGGATGCAGACGTTGAAAGTTTCCCGGGCCCGGCCTCGCGCGGGCCGGCCACTGCTGGGCGCCCGGGCGGCTGCGGTTTCGGCTGGCGGAGGGAAACTTGAAGTTGATGGACGACGGCCGCCGAGGCGCGCGCGGCGTTCGGCCGCAGCCCAGGCATCTTCCGCGGCGCCTTAAGTTGCGAGGAACTTGTTCGGGCGGAGGTAGCCATGTTGTCAGCTTTGTCTGGTGTGCGGGCGGTTTGCGAGACCCTCATTCGCGCCCGCGCTCGTCCCGGGCGGGGGGCGCTCCGGGCTGACCCTGCGCCGCGAACGGCTTCGAAGACCCCTGCGGTCCCCAGGAGGCGGCCCGAGGAGGAAAGGCGTGTGTGGCCGCGCCGGCGAGTTGAGAGCGGAGCCATCTTACCAAGAGTGGAGAATTGGTCTACAGACCCGGGCGTCACGGCGCCTCCTTTCCCCAACAGTGGGTTGTGAACCTGTGCCCTGCCTGCCCACCTTCCTGCCTCCGAGTGATGGCAAATTTCATTTTTAGAGCTTACATTAGAGTTGCCCTACTCTCGGGGGTGGCCATGCCTGGCCGCCTCAGGTAGGAGAGCGAGGCTCTTCTCGCGCTGATTTCTAGCTCCCTGGACCAACCAGCGGGGGAGGCGGGGGCAGGCTCGGCCCCTCCGCGCCGCGGGCCGGGCGCCGACCCTCCCCGGGGACCGCGGGCTCTCTCGGGCCAGCGACCCGCCTGCTCCGGGTGCTCCTGAGTCGGGGATGCTGGTTCGCAGGCTCGAACGTGAATTCTTTTTCCTTAATGACTAAAATTTTCTCTCAGGAGGAAAAATGTTTCTAAGCTAGAAAGTTACATTTAATCCGAGAGCAGAAACATGTAAAATACTTACATTTCCAGGACTTCGTCCCTGGCTTCTAAATACAGAAGACTTGCATCAAGAACGTTTTGAAATCTGACTAAAATAACTCCACATCCAAACAGATACAGAATACACTCTGAACTTAAAACCAAAAGTGAGCTACAAATAAAAGAAGTCTTGATGGCAGTGCAAAAATTTCACTATTTTCTAACTACGTTTAAGGAATGTAAAAAATATTTTTAATATATGCAGTAATAAGTATTTGCAAAGTGAAAACTTGCCGAAGTCTTACCTTTGCTTAACTTGGATTTTATTAATATAATCCGATACTTCATTTTCAAAATTTCGGGGGAAAATTTAATTTCATCAGTGTTCATCATGAGTAAGAGGCTTACTTCTTTGAATTTGCATGTATTTTTGACAAAACGCATCTAAAATAATTGCTCATTATAGTATGCAAAGCACTATTTTCATTTTGCAACTTAGTTTTTTAACCTCTCTATAACATGTGGTTTACATAGGGTGTTAACGTTTTCCATTTTAAAGGCAGTATTTTCTCATTGTAATAAATTTTAAAAATTACACAGACATATAAAATAACATTTCGTTATTCATTGCTTTGCCCCATCTTACTCTAACCACAATTAACACTTTAATATGTGTCCTTCCATCCAGTTTTTATAAGGCATACATGTTATATATGTAAGGCATATTTTGAAAAGTTTATTAATGTAATCTCTAAATTGAGTATAAAATTAAAAATTCTTTTTCCTAGGAGCATTTCTGATACCAGGACCGTTTTTTATATCCAACAGTTTTTCCTTTTTATTGCTAACAACCTATAAAAATCAAGAATGTAAGAGAAACCATAGATAGTCCATTCCAATTTAGACCACAGTGTTTTAGGCATTAGAAGCTTGAATGGCAGTTATTTCTCAAGTGATGCCTTCCATTTCTGGAGTCAACTCTGGAGGAGGAAAATAGAACGTTCAGGATGTTGTAAAGAGATACTATATTGGATGGTTGAAACCCGCCATTCATGGAAACTAAATCACGTTTTCCGTTTTTTAACTGGGATCCATTCAGAACCCAGCTGAATCACACTCAGGCTTTTTACAATACTGATGTCAAGACTACACCTACTTCCATATGTATACCTCACTTCCTAGGGCAGGATTATTGGACATTTATTTAGTATTTTAAAAAAGAATTTAAGCTGAGTCATACTGAAGTTGAAATCCTTCAAAAAGGTGCTATGCCTTTGTACTCCACCTAGAGGCTGTGTGGATTAAGAAAATTGAGTTCAACTTTTCCTTTAAAAGCTCTCTTGTAACTGTTCTTCAGAAAAAAGTGTTGGATGTTTGCTCTCTTCTAAAATAATTTTTGTGGTTTCTAATGGGTGGTCATGTTTAGGCAGTGACTTTCCTGTCAGTGGGAGATAGGAGACCCTGGATGTCTTAAGTTTATCGATATCAATAATAGCTACTATTATTGAATACTTACAGTGTATTAGAATTGAGCCTGGTGCTTCATACTTTCAAAATTCTGGCTTTGTCTAATTTCAAAGACCTCATTCTTTCTATTACACTGAAGGCCTTCCAAGTAGTATAATCAGTTTAATACTCTTCTCACACTTCTCTTGCTCACTTCCACCACAAAGGGAGCTACTTTTAGGCAGGGATAACTGTGATTCAGTGAAACAATTGGGTAATTTTTATATAAATGAATAAACTTCTTCAATTAATAACCCGTGTAAAGCATCTAACCATGTCTCTTCATCCTTCAAACAAATACAGTTACGAAAATGTACTCACTTGGAATTCTGCTCATAAAACAATTGATGCTGGGGTATAAACAAACACTGAGCCTTTTAAACTCAGTGGCTCCGGCAAGCTTAAAAACTAGTGTACCAGGCGTTTTCTGAGCCTAGAAAGGGAAGAATTTATGTTCCCAGTTATGTTTTTTAAGAGAACAATGCTTTGGAGGTTGGAGAGTTTGGATTCTGATTTTTCAATTTACTAGCTGTGTGACTTTGGGTATATAACTTCTCAGAACCTCAACTTGCTTCTCTGTATGATAGGGAAAATTAAACTTACATGATAAAGTTGTTGAGAGGTTTGAATAGTATGTGTGTAGTGGCAAGACCAATATCTGGTATAGAGAAGGTATTTTAAAAAGTAGATTTATAAATCATAACTCTGTTTTCCTATGCCAGGCCACAAATGCCAAGAGTGCTGTATGCACAAACACACAGAATTCTTTCTCATCTGTTTGACCTAACCCTTTCATGACTGAATTATTTTCTCCTTTGAATTTTTATTTGATACCTACTTCCGTAGTGATACTGCCTCAGAAACCCAAGGAGGGGTCGCTATGAGTCGGAGCCGACTTGACGGCACATAACAACAACAACAACCATGTGATTTCAGTAATGGAAACCATGCTGAAATCAAGGGAAAAAAGTTTTGTGTTTTTTTTTTTTTTTTTAAAGGCTAATAGGGATTTTGGTAAAATTAAGTGGGACATATATGTCCCAAGTAGCCTCTGGTGGTAGGATTGATAGGTTGAGGCCCATTTCTTCAGATCATGCAGTTTTACAGGTCCTTACCAGTCAGCAGGGAGCTCTGGTAGCATAGTGCCTAAGGCACTTGACTGCTAACCAGAAGGCTGGAGGTTCAAACCCACCAGCCACTCCTTGGAAGGAAGATGGGGCAATCTACTTCCATAGTGATACTGCCTTGGAAACCCAAGGAGGGGTTGCTATGAGTCAACCAGTCAGCAGCACATACTAAAACTGGAAAGACCAGATTCCCAAGAAACCTGAGAGGCTGAAAATGTATGTTAGTGATATAGGTTCCATGGATCACAAAAAGATTAACTTTGGAGGGCACTGAGGCTCATTCCCTAGTAATCCCATGTATTTTCATGGCTTTCTATATCATTGACAGTTTTTAATTTTTACTAAACTGATTCAGTATTTCTACTTATATATTTAGTAGAGATTTCAAACGTGCAAAATTAACTCCTAATTGGTTTTCCCCCACAAAAAAAGCTGATTCCTGATGTCTTTTCCTTTTCAGTAAATGGCATCTCCATCCTTGCAGATGTGTAAGCCATCTGTGACTACCTTTTCTGTTACCTGTCAATAAATCTGTTGCCTTTATCTTCAGACTTTACCCAGAATGTGACCACATCTCACCTCCAAGACTACATACATACACATGGTGTAAGCCAGCATAATTTTTTCTGTCAACTGTTGAGATATCCTTCCTCCTTTTTCTTCTCCTGCCCTCTTACAATCTATACTGAACACAGTAGCCAAAATGATTCTTTTGAAATGAAAATCAGATCATGTCACTCTTTTGCTCAGAACCTGCAGTGGCTTCCCATGCCACTCATTATAAAAGCCAAAGTCCTTATGATCCTTCAAAGCTTTATGTGATATGGCCATCCTCCCTCATCCCCACTCATGGTTGCTACTTCCCCCTTGCTCATTCTCCTCAAGCTACCCTGGCCTCTTTTCTTTTGAAGATGCCAACCAAAACCAGACAAATTGCCATTGAGTTGACTCTGACTGAGCCACCTTATAAGACAGAGTAGAACTGCCCCTTAGGGTTTCCAAGGCTGTAAATCTTTATAGAAGCAGACTGCCTCATCTTTCTCCTGTGGAGGGGCTGGTGGGTTTGAACTGCTGACCTTTTTGTTAGCAGCTGAATCTTTAACCACTATGCCACCAGTGGCCTTTGAACATGCCAAGCATGCTCCTATCTAGACCTTTGTATTTGCTGTTCCCTCCAACTGGATACATATGGCTTGCTTCCTCATATACTTGTCTGCATTAGTAAGTACACGATGTCATGCCAGATGCAGTACAGCCTGCATCTGAAAATATGCTCAATGCTAAGAACACTAGTATTCTAGGTCTAGGATGATGGCACACCATAATTGTTGTTAGATACCATCGAGTCATCATCAACTCAGAGTGACCTTGCACACAGCAAAACGCAACACTACTCCGTCCTGCGCCAGCTCCGTGATCCCTGCCATACTTGAGCCCATCACTGCAGCCACTGTGTCAATCCATCTCTTTGAGGGCCTTCCCCTCTTTCATCCACCCTCCACCTTACCGAGCATGACATCCTTCTCCAGGGAATGGTCCCTTCTGATAACATGACCAAAGCACACCAAAAATGACTGTTGACTTAAAAGTATTAGTCCAAAGGAGCTTGAAGTTTAGTAAATTACATACAACTGGAATGCTCCTTAGAAGCAAGAATGGCCAGACTTTGCCTCACCTACTTTGGTCATGTTGTAAGAAGGGACCATCTCCTGGAGAAGGATATCATGCTTGGTAGAATCAAAGGTCAGTGAAAAAGGGGAGACCTTTCATGAGATAGACTGGCACGGTGGCTGCAACATGGGCTCAAGCATTGCAAGAATTGTGGGGATAGTGCAGGACCGGACAGTGTTTTGCTCTGTTGTACATAAGATCGCTATGAGTTGGAGCTGACACAATGGCACCTAACAATAACATGAATAAGAAATAGTACCTATACGATTTCTGCTATCTACCTATACAGTTACACAGCACATAGTTCTATTAACTAGATTCTTAATGAGTGACCCAGAGTCTTACCCCTGGAATGCTTGGGAAGTCTTGGTGCAGTGAGTACAAGAGGTGGGCCACACAATGCTAAACAGCCTGAGAGGGCACGGAGCCTCTCAGATAAGCTGTGCTTACAGAGTTATTTTCCTTCCCCTACAAAGAGCAGGCTCCTTCGAAAAGAAGTAGTTTTACTCATCAGGGTTCTCATAGAGCATATTACAAAAGTTTCTCAATAAAATATGCTAGATTGAATTATATAATGTCTCAGGTTATACTTTAGCAGCTTATTCCTGCCCCCCTCCATTTCTCCTGTATATACTTTATTGAATCAGTGTAAGGACCCTTAGAATCCCTGTGTAGCACTACTACTACTATGCCCAACTACCAACCTAAAGGCTGACAGTTAGAATCCACCCAGAGGCATCTTGAAAGAAAGACCTGGTGATATACTTCTGGAATATCATGGCCATTGAAAACTCTACAGCGCACATTCCTGATCTGAGACATGGGGTCACCATGAGTTGGAATCAACATGATAGCAATTTTTTTTTTTAAAGGACCCTGGATTTATCTTCCCAATTTAAAGAATTACATGAGGGTGCCATGAGAAAAAAACCAACTGTCATTCTTCAACTGTTGATGAGCTAAAGTCCCTTCTAAGCCACAAGGGAAGTTTGCTAATAATGACCTTTACTTTGGAGCTCTTTGATGATGTGGATCCATGTAACTAAAATAATACAGGGCAGTGCTTCCAAAATACGGTGACCCATTGCTGTCAAGCTGATTCTGACTCCTAGCAACTCTACAGGACAGAGTAGAACTGCCCCGAAGGTTTCCAAGTCTGTAAAGTGGGCTGTTAAAAGATAACATACCAAAACAAGTAGGGGAAGGGAGGATAGAATAGCCACATAAATTTGGGAAATGCTGAATTAACTTTACTGATGTTCTTTAAGGAGCCCTGGTGGCAACAGTGGGTAGATGGTTGGCAGTTGGAATCCATCAGCTGCTCCACAGGAGAAGGAGGTGGCAGTCTGCTTTCATAAACATTACAGCCTTGGAAGCCTTATGGGGCGGTTCTGTTCTGTCCTACAAGGTTGCTATGAGTCACAGTCAACTTGATACTAGGTTTGGTTTTGGATATTCGTTGAAGGATGTCTCAGAACACTTACTGTGCCAGTCTGCTTTATGAACCCTAAAGATTAGGCTGTAGCACTTCTCAACTTTATGGCCACATTATCTTGTTTGTGAAGAGCACTGCCCAGTATCAGTGTTCCATAAAAAAGCATTCTGAGAAACTGGTGTGAAGTGTAAGAATTTTACAAGGAGCTGTTCTGTGCCTTTCTGGATTTTCTTTTAGGAGAAGCCAACTTTGTTGTTGTTGTTATGTGCCGTCGAGTCAAACCCGACTCATAGCGACCCCTCCTTGGGTTTCCGAGGCAGTATCACTACAGAAGTAGGATTGCCCAACCTTCCTTCCGAGGAGTGGCTGGTGGGTTTGAACTGCCAGCCGTCTGGTTAGCAGGCAAGTGTCTTAGCCACTATGCTACCAGAGCTCCCAATAAATGGTTAAATGGTCATTAAAAGGGTCTTTGAGATCATCATCTGGTAATAGTTACTGATGAAATGTGTGTTGGTTTTTAACTCTAGACCTGGAATGGAAAATTATCTATGTGGGCTCTGCAGAAAGTGAAGAATACGATCAAGTTTTAGACTCTGTTTTAGTGGGACCTGTTCCTGCAGGAAGGCACATGTTTGTATTTCAGGTAAGATTACTTTTGGTAAATATGTATGTGAAATATGTTTCTAAACGGTTTATTCTTTTATGGTCCTTATTCCTTTCTCTTTGGATTAAATCACTGTGTCTGCTACCTTCACTTTTTAATCCGTTTCCATTACATTTTAAAAAGTCAGTCAGACGTATCTGTGTCATAAAGGAATTCGACCTCTTGGTTTTGTATGATAAGAGAAGTTGAGATGAACAGCATGCAGTAAACCTTACACTGTATTATGTCACAAGAAAGTTATTTTTAGAGTTCTTCCTCAGAATAGCCTTAAGGTGGTCCAATGAATAAGAAATAATTTAAAAAACAAATACTTAAAAAAAAAACTCACTGCCGTCGAATCAGATCCAATTCATAGCAACCCCTCCTTGGATTTCCGAAGTGGTATCACTATGGAAGCAGACTGCCCAAACTTCCTTCTGGGGAGTGGCTGGTGGGTTTGAACCTCCAGCCTTCTGGTTAGCAGTCAAATGACTTTGGCACTACACCACCAGAGCTCCCAAGCCTACAGCACTCTGTATTCCCAGGTGGTCTCCCATCCAAGTACTAACCAGGCCCGACCCTGCTTAGCTTCCAAGATCAAACAAGATTGAGTGTATTCAGGGTGATATGGCCATAGACCTTATACTATTTAAGGTGGTCCAATGGCCAAAAAACATGGATTTAAAATACTGATAGAGTTAGTGACACACAGCTTCAGTTTTACGGTTTCACCTTTTAGGAGTAATGATACAAAAAAAACAACAACTTCATTTTGGCATAATCAATAATTAAGCTAGGTTAATAGGAAAATAGACAAAGATCTACTCCTTGACCTTGGGTCATTGGAAATGAAATCCAACGATTTATTAAAGCATCTATTCTACACATCTTGTGCTACCCTACTTGGCATTTGTGAGGGGGAAGTCTACTAAAGTCAATTATATTCTCAGGTACCATTGGCAGTATTTGGGTTTGTGTCAAGGCTTCAGACATTGTGACTGTATTCAAGTTTTATTTCTTTTAATCCATATTAAATTGCTATATAAAACTATCCAAGTACTTCTCAATTATTTGTGCTTATTAGGGAAAGATATTTATAATAATCAAAGAATAACTAGTCATAAGTTTTGTTACAAGTGTTTCTATACAAGAAAGTCACATCAGTTAAGCAGAACTCACTAAAGAGATTTAATGCAGAAAGGACATCTAACTCTTCTTATCCCTTACCTTCCTTGTTTTCTCCTTTCATAGCTGGGACCAACATAAACGATAATCCAATAATCTCATCAGAAATGAGCAAAGCATCACTTAAACATATGGCATCTCTGGAGCTGCTTACCTTTTACCCCCATTTCCTAAATACACATTCAGAATCCTGGTGTCTCCCAGCCTTAGTACTTTTTACTAAAAAGCAAGAAGTAACGTTGTTGTTGTTGTTGTTATATGCCGTCAAGTTGGACCCAACTCATACTGACCTCTCCTTGGGTTTCCGAGGCAGTATCACTATGGAAGTAGATTGCCCAACCTTCCTTCCAAGGAGTGGCTGGTGAGTTTGAACCACCAGCCTTCTGATTAGCAGTCAAGTGCCTTAGGTGCTACACTACCAGAGCTCCTAAAAGTAATGTAGTATAGCTAAACAAAAGGTTACAAAAAATGCAGTTATATTAATGAAAAGGTAATAGTGCTCCTAACCTGAACTGTGATGTATAATCTCAGTGAAAGATACAGGTAACAGCGCTGTGTTCAAGGAAGCACCACAGTGAGAGACCTGGTTCAAATCCTGGCTCCACCACTGAGATTAGCCATGATGTGACTTAAACTCCTTAACTTCCCTTAGCACTCCAGTCATGTATAAAATGTGGGTAATATCCTTCCTCATAAGAATGTTGAGGATTAAATGAGGAATAAAGCAGTTAGCATAATCATTGACAATTAGTAAGTATCCTGTTTTGTAATTTGAAGGAAATTTACTCTCTTCAGCTTCTTAAAACTGTTCTATACAGAAGCAGCATTTGTTTGGACCAGTAAGCCTGGGGAACCCATACTTTGTTGATGATAATTCATGATGTAGTAATAAATTTTGGTTGCCATACAGTGATAATAACATCTTTCTATGCTACTATAAAAACTTAACAAACATTTCCCCCCACCCACCCACCCCTGACCAATAAATGCTTTGGTTTTAAAACAGACCGTTAAAAATCTTTCGTATGTGTTCAGGTTGTTAAGAAAATTCCTAAGTTTTTGGCTTAGAGTGCTGTAGGAAAACTGTTAATCAAAAATTTTCTCTTCTACGGTTTTCAAGTTGTTTTACCTTGGTACTTTGGTATCAGTACATATATCGCCAAAAAGATGAAGCACAGTGTGATTTAGGTCATGTGTTCAGTCTATGCATTCTGCACAATTCATTATAAACAGAAGTGACTAAAAGTACGGGTTGTGTTTTGTGTTTTAAACAAATTGCCCTAGTATCCTACTGGTCTGCCATGATTTTGCCTCTCAGAATAATTAGAATGCCTTTCTCAGTAGTGTATCAAAACCTAGGAGGAAGATGTCCACATATCTGCCTGATGTTGCTGGCTGCAGTCAAAGATCTGTGCCCATCACTTCATACTATGTGATTTGAGAGGCCTACAGGTTTCTCTATCCAAATTTGCTGAAGCGTAATCCTTTGGCAAATAAATTTTAAACCACAGATGTACCTAGGACCACTTTGCTGAAGGGAGTGGGAGATACCACAGGCGAGAGAGGTCCCACAGTAGTACAGAGCTATCGTTCTCATCTCTACTCCCTTCCGGGAGCTTCACAATATCTTTGGGTGCCCTCCAGGGTCGAGCATTAGAGCAATCTAATTCCTCTAGGGAAGGGTACAGGATTTTTAAGAAATAGCATATTCTCCAGCACAGACCATCCTGGTATCTCTCCAAAGAGATCATGAAGCCCTAAGAGCAGGAATTGAGTTGTGAATCAATTTCAGAATATTAAGTATGTATGTACTGTGTGCCAGACAGATGTGAGATTACAAAAAGACAGGATCCTTGCCTTGCATGGGGCTTTGAGTCTTGCAGAAAGATTGAAGGGTAAACATATTTAGATTGTTGGGTGTGCAATACTAAGAGGATTTGTCGCTATGAGTCGGGTCTGACTCGACAGCACAGAACAACACAACAATATGAATACACAAAAAAGGAGCTGTACCTTCTGAGTTAGAAGAACTTCAGTGAGAAGGATGCATTTGATGGAAGCTTCAAAAGATGGATGTTAGCGATTGACCTTTCAAACCAAGGGAACAGTTGTGTGAGACACAAAGATGTTAAAGAATATCACCACATTTTAAGGAACTTGTGTAACTCATAAGTCTAGAACAAGGGTGAGAGGTGTGAAGTTAAAGGAAGTGTGAATGGAGATGTTGGCTGGAGACAAGTTGTGAAGGGCCTTGAAACTAATTTAAAGAACTAAGATTTTATCCCTTAGAAATGGAGGTAATCATCTGAAGTGTTAAATGATAGACAAGACACTGACCAGTTAGAAAGTTTTAGCAGTATTCCAGATAAGAGATGAAGACATGAATTTAGTCATCAGAGGTTGAGAATGTTGAGACTGACTAGATGTAGGAGATAGGGATGCTCAAGGTGACTGGGTGTCATCTACACACAAGGTAGGCATACAATAAACTTAGTCTTTGATGATAAAGGCCTGATTGGAAATGCCAGCTTAAAGGCAGGCATTGGCTGAATTGTTCATCCAAGCCCAGGGATGTTCCTTGGTTCTGGCAAAAGCAAACTAATTTGCTGGGAGTTCATTCATTTACCACCCAGAATGGTTGCCTCAGGTTGAGCTCAATGCCCTCAGACATCCACTTGCCCATCCCTGCAGTCCACCACTTCTCTCCTCCTAGTCAGTGTCCTTACTGTCCTGCACACTGCCTTGGACAGGACCCCTGCCTTTTTCTAATACTAACAGCCTCCTATAGCCCATGTGCTTCACCTTCTGCATCTTTTGAGGCTCATTTTCACACTGCTTGATTCAAAACAAGGTCTTTGATCACGTCTGCCTAAAACGATCTTTATCTTCATTGCATTTCCATAGTATGTGTGGTGTAAATCATTTATTTTGGTATCTAGCAAAGTGATTATTTATATTAGAAGATTATTATTTTTGAAAAGTATTTACATAGTTATTTCCATCCCATTTTCAGTTTTATCATATCATTAATTTACTATTAAAATATTTGAGAGTGGATGAGTAGGTAAAAGGATGTAAGTAAGGTATCTGAGGGGTGGATAGGTGGGTATGAGCTAAGTGTTCTGGATAGAATAGGGAAAATGCTATCTAAGAAACATTTGCTGCCAACAGTCTATGGAGATAATTGAATATTTACTAATTCAGGTCTGAAAATTATAACTAGAAAAGGTTAGAATCAATAAGACTATTGATTCAGTTTATTATATTTTATAAGGTTTCATATTTGAATAATGCTCAATTCATGAACCATCATACATTGTAGCCACAATTATTTCCCTCTAGAAGTAGTATTTTCTGGAAATATCTTCAATCTCCTCATGCATGTGAAAGCTAGACGATGAATAAGGAAAACTGAAGAAGAATTGATGCCTTTGGATTATGGTGTTGCTGAAGAATATTAAATATATCATGCTAAAAGAACTAACAAACATGTCCTGAAAGAAGTACAGCCAGAATGCCTCTTAGAAGCAAGAATGACAGGACTTCATCTTATATCCTCTGGATATGTTAACAGGAGAGACCACTCACCGGAGAAGGATATCACTCTTGTTAAAGTAAAGGGTCAGTGAGAAAGTGGAAGACCTTCAATGAGATGGATTGACACAGTGGCTGCAACAGTGGGTGCAGACATAGCAACGACTGTGAGGGTGGCGCAGGTACAGCAGTGTTTCATTCTGGTGCACATGTAGAGGCAGAACCAGCACCATGGCACTGAACAGCAGACAGTAACACCGGAAGCAGTGTTGCTTTTAAGTACCAGGAGTACTTAGCAGTATTGTGGAGAAACACAAGAACTATATTTTCTGACTATAAGTCAGTCTCAAAAAAGAGTATTTGCCTTCCCAGAAAGGCTTCCGAGGTTTTGTTGCTACATCTTCAACTGAGGTGCTTAAGGTAACTATCCCTCCCAGTCTTGGCTGCAGTTAACGACCTTTTGTGTGTTTCTTTTCAATTATTCTAGGCTGATGCACCTAATCCAGGACTCATTCCAGATGCAGATGCAGTAGGTGTAACAGTTGTGCTAATTACATGCACCTATCGAGGTCAAGAATTTATTAGAGTTGGCTATTATGTAAATAATGAATATACCGAGACAGAATTAAGGGAAAACCCACCAGTAAAACCAGACTTTTCTAAGGTAATGTTCTGACTGTTCCTATTTAATAACGTTTACTATACAATTTTTGGGGGAATTGTCATTTCATAGTAGTACACTATGAAAATGGCTTAAAGAGACAAAATAAATTTGAGGTCTTTTGGCCAACTGGGCAAACTAATCATTGTTCTCTTACCACTGCTTACTTCAAAGTCTATCTCTAGATACATCATTAGTAATTAGTGTGATCAAGCACCTGGTTTCATAAAAAGAAAAAAAAGATCAAAGTGCCTCCTGTAAAAAATAAGCTTTCTGCATAGCATTGCTCATGCATCATAATTATTCATTTTGACCTTTAAGCCACACAAAATGCCATATACCCAGAGGGCATTCAAATTTATTTTTGTCATACTCATTATTCAGTAATGGTATTTTTATGTACAACTCTTCCCAAAACTATAGGGAGAAATTTTATGTTTGTTCTTTACACGAGTAGTAGTATGCGCCTATATGCTTTGTTATGCACCTAAGTGCTTTGTTTTATCTGCTGTTGTTAGAGCTTAAACTGAAAAAAAAAGAAGAGAAAAACCCTGTTGCCATTGGGTTGCTTCCAACTGCTCATATAAGGTTTTCTTGGCTATAGATTTTACCGAAGCAGACTGCCAGGCCTGTATTCTGCAGTGCTGGTGGGTATGCTCAGACCACCAGGCTTTCAGTTAGTAGTTGAGCACAAACTGTTGGCACCACCGAGGGACCTTTTTTCTTACAGGTCTTAAATATTTCTGGTGACAGAAGCTGAAATCTGTGATTCTGCACCCTCACTCTCCAGTCCCTATGATTTTCCACTGGGAACTGTTAACAGTTTAGTAACTGGTGATTTTGTGAGGGTGTATAGTAAATGACGTTGAACTTGACACTCCATTTGCCATACCATGTAAGAAAAATTAGATGGTAATACAATGTTCTTTCTAAGAATAAGGCTGGAACATTTCTCATCCTGGTACGAGACCTTACACTGATGCAATTTATTATCTATCTGTCTGGCACTCTGTATAGCAAAAAAAAAAAAAAAGGCTAGAATGCTGTTTCTAAAAATCAGCTACAATATTTAAAAGGTAGAAAACCATTAGTAATGAGAAGTTATACTTGGAATTGACTTTCAACAGCAGCAGCATTCTTGGGGAAGAGTTCCTGGGTGCTGCAAAAATGTAGGTTCCTTGGAAGAAAAGCCTGGTGATCTAGCTGCTGAAAATGCCCTGGAGCAGTCTACTGACACAGGGAGTCACTGTGAGTGAGGGCTGACTCTCTGGCCACTGGTTTACTGGTTTAAACTTGGGAAAATTTTTATTTTCCTTGAATGTATTACAGAAGAGAGACCCTGTCAGTCTAAAACAAAACAAAACAAAAAATCTTCACTGCCATCCAGTTGTTTCTGACTCATAGTGCCCCCTCCATAGGGTTTCCAAGACTAAATCTTCACGGAAGTAGATTGCCCCATCTTCAGTCTAAAGAAAGAGGATATTAAATAAAGTATCCTCTGAAGCATTCGCATTCAGAAAGGAAAGAGTCTTTCTCACAGACCCCAGACTTCCTGGAGCTATGAAAGTTGTATGAACCCCTGAAATTGCTGCCCCAAGATAATCTTTAAACCTTAAACCAAAAATACCACCTGAAGTCTTCTGAAAACAAAACAGTAGCTTACTTAGCTAGTCAACAATGTCTTTCTTGAGCATGATGCTCATTTTAAAACTATTTGTGTGGGATCCAGTTGATAACAGCAAGTCTAAAGATTAAGTAGGAACTTAGGGGCCAGTGAATTTATGTTACTGAAGCAGGCACAACTCAGAAAAGAAGGGTAAGAATGATTACACAACTCAAAGAGTATTATCGGGGTTACTAAATTGTACATGTAGAAACTGCTGAATTGGTGTATGTTTGTGCTGTGTATATTCTGAACAACAAAATAAATAAAATTAAATAAAAAAGGAACTCTTAAGTCTAAAACAAAAATTCTAAATAATTTAAAAAAAAAAATGTTCTCCCTTTTAGGAAACTGAAGTACAGATGAGTTAAGGTACTTCATTGACAGCAAAAAATCTAGATGAATTCCCTCAGATTCTCCATATCTTATTTTCATTAGGCAAAAATATTTTCTCTTGGCCTAATCCTTATTTATTAGTTATGTTTAAGGTACTGTATTTGACTTATTATACCTTTGTATTTAGCTCTTAGGAGTACCAGCATAAAGAACCATTTATTAGGCTCCTATTTGTATACAGTGTTATAACATTCTTAGTATTTATCATGCACATGTTTTCCTTCTCCTCTAGCTTCAAAGGAACATTTTGGCATCTAATCCCAGGGTCACAAGATTCCACATTAATTGGGAAGATAACACAGAAAAACTAGAAGATGCAGAGAGCAGTAATCCAAATCTACAGTCACTTCTTTCAACAGATGCACTGCCTTCAGCATCAAAGGGATGGTCCACGTCAGAAAACTCACTAAATGTTATGTTAGAATCCCACATGGACTGCATGTGACCACCTGCCATCCCTATAGTACAAATTAAGCTATTAAAACAGAACTATTTCCCTGAAATTCCGTAAGTACATAGTCAAGACACAATGTGAAGAATTTGTTTAAAAATCATCCTGTAGAAAGTTTATAAGAAGACCAGTATTTGAGCAAATTGTGGAATATAAATACAACTATTTTTAAGTAATTTTTTCTCTAATGTGTTATTTGTTTTGAAACTAATCTGATTAAAGTATATATATTATTTTCTTCTCTATAATGTAATTAAAACACTTCTAGGAAAAATACGAATCTCTACATCAGGTTGTAAAGATGTCTTAGCCTCTTGGACAATGATCTTGTGGACCACTATTTTATCAGCCTTTGAAAGAACAAAGTTCATTTAAATGAAAATACTTTTTCCTATGAAAACACAGTCTGGTTTAATTTAAGGGGCAAGTTTCCATTCTTCTTTGGCATGTCCTTAAAAAGGAAATTTGAAATCAACTATGTGCTACCAAGAACTTCAAGAACTACTTTTGAGGGCCACTCTGAAGCCTCATGTGACTACTACGGCGGTTCACGTAATGTTGCATAGCATTTGGTTTGGTTCTAAGATTATAACAAATGCAGTTAATTGTTCATAAGGTCCTCTAGTTATAATTTTTATTTTTATACCAGAGTTTGGGACATTAGAACACTCTATGAATCATTATTGCCCAGTGAATTCAACATGTCAAAAGCAATTTCAAACTCCCTAAGTTTAAAAATAGGAAGATTATAATGGCTCAAGTGTGTTCATTAGATTTATAAAAAATACTTTGAATTTAAGTTCTCTAAAATTGTTTTGATGTATCACCCCTCTTGGCAACATTTATATTAAAATTTGGTTTTGGAAAGGCATAGTTAGCTTTATCTTAATAGACTAATTACTATTTTGGAAATGTGTATTTTCCCACCTGTAATACTCATTTCCACATCCCCTGACGCTCATGCAGAATACTATTAGGCATACTGTTGTTGACATACTCTAGATAGCTCTTCAGATAACAAGTTTGTTGTTAAAAGCAATCTTGGAAAGGAATCCATTAACTAAATGGGTCAGAAGGTTCTTTTCGAGAGCTAGGTCCTTCCTCAGAAAGTTGATTGATTGTGTACCATTAAATTAAGTGTAGACTATTTTCATTCCTCTTGCTGCTGAGCAAGACATTAGCCATAGGATGCAAAGTTACGCAGTGCCTTCGTGTCTAAACTTTTATACTGCACTTTCTAAAGCTTTTATTTTGAGGAATAGAGAAAGATACTGGGCTAAACATGGATTCTAAGGTGTACGTATTTCCTGTCATTCTAAAGTGAGTTGTGAGGTAAAATTTTGTTAAATGTTAAGCTTTAAATTTAATATACCAGACTATTAAAATACTGTTCATTAACTAGTTCATAGATTTGAAAAGAAAATATCCAATTGTTAAAGCTACATGAAGAAAACTTCTTTTTGGTCTACTTGTAATTAAAAGAAAATGTTGACATGAAGCTAAAAGTGATACTTCCCAATGAAGATTAATTATTGATTAATATAACAGGAATCAAAATAACTGATTAATACAATAGGAACATGATACATGCCTGTCAGAAATAAAGCATATAAAAGCCAAACTGTAAAATAAAGCAATTCACTGCTGAGTTTTATTTGATTAGTAATAATGATTAGTTTGTACTGACATTAAAGATAGGTTCTTATATCAATGTGTGATTTTCACAGAAGATTGGGACCTAAACATTTACTTTAAAAACTATTACCTCTATTTTAAATACTTTAGCTCTATAGGCTGTCCCCCAGATATGAATGAGTTCCATTCCTAAATCTGTCTTTAAATCAAATTTGTGAGTCAGAACAGTTAGGAACCGGTATCTAACATTAGTCAGTTAGTCAAATGTTTGTCTTAGTATATAACACATATTGTACCTTCTATGCACAAAAAAACACTTCCTGATGATACACTAAAAACATCTTTAACATAATAACACAGTAATGTTTTTATGTGTGTAGCAAAGTACTGTCTATTTGTTAATACAAAACACTGTCTGTATCTTGAGTTTTTAATATAATAGGCTTTATGGGGTTTGGATCTTAACTACGGGTTGTATGTTAAGTCGGATGTTCATAACCGAGGGACTGTCTGTATAAGTTTTAGAAATAGGAAATTTTAATTAATGGCTGAAAGTAAGAAATATGTAAAATTCGAACATTAGGAATGAAGAAACTGGATAGCACATAGTTTTTTTTTTGTGCCCTCTCCCCCTTATTCAGCCTTACTTACAGACACTTGTCTGACTTACAGTTAAAAGGTTTAGAACTATTGTTTCCTTTTTGATCATAGTAAATAAATATCTGTATCCTGAGAACATATGTATAAACAAATTATTTATGCTGTTGAACAGATAGGTGTAGGTCAGAGGAAATGAGGAAAGCCATTTGAACTGAGAAAACACTGAGGAAATCTGAGGAACATGCATGCATTTGCTCGTATATAATCTTACAGCCTTAGAGTTCTATGTGGTCTTACCCTGTGGCTTTAGGATTTGGGGTTTTCAGGTTGACTAATAAAGTCTATGGCAGCAACTTTTAAAACTTTTGTCATAATCCACATTAAAAACAAATACATATATATCCTATAACATAAGTATACATTTATATTAAAAAGTTTTCAAGACAATGCACCTTTATAATGCACCCACTGAAATGACTTTTATGACCTAATAGGTTTTGTACACAGTTTGAAAGAAGACTAGTCTAGCCCTCTGAGTAGGTAATTAGCAGTAATTTTTCTTTAATTCTAAAAATACACATTCCCTTTTCTTTCATGATTGATCTTGAAACAATTTATTTAAAAAAAAAAAAAAGAGGGAAAAGTACTAATATAGCAAGTCAGCAGCCATTCACTTTAAAACAGCTCAAATACCCTGAAATTAGTAGTAGCCCTCAAGATAGTATGGGCTCATTACTTGCCACTCCACATAATTATCTGAGGAACAGCTTTGTTGGCTGCCGTCACTCCTGCTCCATTGGATCCTAAGGATAAAATGACATGAAGTGTTCTGTATGCTTACTGTTTCCCTTCTAGTGTCCTGAAGTTGTCTGCTCTGCTCAATTCACAGAGCCCTTCTTGTCAACGACTAAAGTACTGTTGTTGTTATGTGCCGTAGAGTTGGCCCTGACTCGTAGCTCCTGGGTTTCCGAGGCGGTATCACTATGGAAGTAGATTGCCCAACCTTCCTTCCGAGGAGTGGCTGGTGGGTTTGAACAGCCAGCCTTTTCGTTAGCAGTCAAGTGCCTTAGGCACTATGCTACCAGAGTTCCTAATGTACTATTAATACATTTATATTCCAAAACCTTAGAGCAACTTAGAATGATGCCCCAGTTATGGAGCGTTTTCTGCTTCATGATAAATTTTAAAGTAAAAGTTTTTCCTAAGCAAACTGAACACAGGCCATGGAAGATAGGCTTCCTTAGCAAATACCAAATGACATTTGTAAAATGTGTGAAACCAAGGGCCTATTTTTGGGGGAGAGAAATATTTTTTTTTTTAGGTATTTTTTCCTTAAAACAACAGTGCTAAATTCCCTTCCCTAAGACACTTGGCATTTGGTCTGTGAAGGTTTTTAAATGTAAGTTCCATGTTGCAATGATTAAACTATGCTTTCCACATACTAAAATGATAAACTTTTCACCTAAAAATATTTCAGTAGGAGCTACTGCTGACCCTAAGACCTCTCAGCATGAAAATGCCTTAAGCACTAAGACATCAATCTACTTTTAGAAAGTGTATTTTTTTTTTCTCTACTTAATTAATTTTAATGTGCTGTTTTCTGGGTCTTCATAGAATGCCAGATGATGCATACTTTTTCTGCACAGATATATGTATGACGGTTATCACTAAAGAATAAGAAAATTGAATAGGATCATTCAAAACAAGATCCAAGGAGATCCATGGAGTAAGTTTTGACAGATTATAAGTGAGGATAGAGCTTTTAAAATACATTCTTAGAACTGTAAAAGTAAAGCGTATTTCCTTCAATTTTTGGCAGTAACTCTCAAAAATTAGTTAGAAATTTATCCTATTATAGGCACTTTTTCATTAAAAAAGAAAATCATTGTGTAAGATTCTGTCATAATATTAAATTACTTGAAATTGTCACATAAAATACCTGCACTTGTAGATCCAATACCTGTGGTGAGCACAGATCTTGGTGTGATCTTAGCTGCATATTTGAGGAACTGAGATTTCCCTGTGCCAGGATCCCCAACCAATAAAAGATGTGATTCACCTAGAAAAACATAAATATGTAAAATTTTAAATTTCTATGGAAGGACCCATGAATAAGTGTAATTACAATCAAAAAGAAAACGGTGTACTTGGAATGCTAGCACAATTTATATTTCATATGGTGCTTTTGCTGTACACAGTTACTTAACAACATTCCAGGAGGGGTTTAACTAGGAAACTTTTGGAAAAAGTTAACAGTCATCATAAACATAACTGTCAATGTAATTGATTACTGAAGATGACATTTAAAATTTAAATTCTAGTAATAGATTATATGCTATTTTGAGATGTTTAGGCCTATGTTTATTATTTTAAAAAATTTTGGCTTATTTAATCTATTTTTCAACACCAAATGACTGCAGTTAAACCTTACCATACAAACCACAGATGTATTTTAATTTTTTTTTTAAGCATCTGTACGTGTTAGAGACTCTGTTGTTGTTGTTATGTACCATCGAGTCAAACCCGACTCATAGCGACCCCTCCTTGGGTTTCCAAAGCAGTATCACTACGGAAGTAGGATTGCCCAACCTTTCTTCCGAGGAGTGGCTGGTGGGTTTGAACCACCAGCCGTCTGGTTAGCAGGCAAGTGTCTTAGCCACTATGCTCCCAGAGCTCCCAGAGACTCTGTAGTACTTTATAAATAACAAATCAATTATGATTCCAGCAGATAAGTGAAATCCTATCTTCAAGTAGTTAAGGACTCTTTTTCAAATGTAACATGAAATCTACATATGAATATCTTCTGGTGTGTATTACCTCACTAATCAAACAAAATTTTTTTGTAAGATTACAAACTCAAATATTTTCTTAATATGTTAATAAGGGCCCCTAGTTAAACTCAACATTTAGCACAATGCCTTGCAAATAGTAGGTGATTAAAACATGTAACACATATTTACTTAATACATTGTTGTAAGGAGCTCTGGTGGCGTAGTTCCTAAGGCATCTGACTGCCAACCTGAAAGTTGGTGGTTCAAACCTACCAGCCACTCCTCAGAAGGAAGACTGAGCAATCTACTTCTGTAAAGATTTACCACCTCAGAAACCCAAAGGGAGTTGCTATGAGTTGGAATCAACTCAATGGCAGTGAGTTTGGAGTTTTGATTACATTGTTAAGTGCAATCGAAGGTTACAACTCATAGTGACCCATGTATGACAGAACGAAATGCTGTCCAGTCCTGCACTGTCCTCACAGTCACTGCTATGTGGAGCCCATTGTTGCAGCTGCTGTGTCAAGCCATTTCATTGAGGGTCTTCCTCTTTCTCTCTGACCCTCTACCAAGTATGATACCTTTCTCCAGGGACTGGTCCCTCCTGAGAACATGACCAAAGTTTGAGAGGTGGAGTCTCACCATTCTCCCTTCTAAGGAGCATTCACTGTACTTCATCCAAGACAGATTTGTTTGTCCTGGTAGTCCATGGTATAGTCAATATTCACTAACACCATAATTCAAATGCATCAATTCTTTCTTCCTTATTCACTGTCCAGCTTTTGCATGCATATTAGGTGATTAAAAAGACCATGCCTTGTGTTAGTTACACCTTAGCCTTCAAAGTGGTGTCTTTGCTCTTTCATCTTTTGCAGCAGGTTTGCCCAGTCCAATATATCCTTTTATTAACTGCTGCTTCCATGGGCATTCATTGTGGATCTAAGTAAAATGAAATCCTTGACAACTTCAATCTTTTCTCCATGTATCATGATATTGCTCATGATACATGGATTTGTGAGGATTTTTATTTTCCTTAAATTGAGGTATAATCCATATTAAAGGCTGTACGTAGACTTTGATCTTCATCAATAAGTGCTTCAAGTCCTTTTCACTTTCAACAGGGAATGCTGTGTCATCTGCATATCACAGATTGTTGATGAGTCTTCCTCCAAACCTGATGCCTTGTTCTTCTTCATATAGTCTAGCTTGCTTCTCAGATTATTTGATCAGCATACAGATTGAACAAATTCAGTGAAAGAACACAGTCTTGACACACCTTTCCTGATTTTAAACCATGTGGTATATATCCTTGTTCTGTTTGAAGGATAGCCTCTTATTCTATGTACACAGGTTCCTCATGAGCACAATTAAGTTTTCTGGAATGCCCATTCTTTGTTATGTTATCCATAATTTGCTATGATCCACATAATCAAATGCCTCTGCATAGTCAATAAAACACAGGTAAACATCTTTCTGGAATTTTTTTGCTTTCAGCTAAGATCCATCTGATATCAGCAGATATCCTTTGTTCAGTGTCCTCTTCTGAATCCAGCTTAAATTTAATTTCAGGCAATTCCCTAAGTACTGCTGCAATGATTTGTGAGTTATTTTCAACGAATTTTACTTGTATGTGTTATTAGTTCAATAATTTCCACATTCTTTTGTATCATTTTTCTTTGGAATGCACACAAATAGGGATCTCTTCCAGCTGGTTGGCCAGATAGCTGTCTTCCGAATTTCTTGGGTAAACTATTGAATGCATCTAGCATTCCATCTGTTTGCTGGAACATCTCAATTGCTATTCTGTCAATCTTGAGCCTTGTTTTCTGCCACTTCCTTCAGTGCAGCTTGTACTTCTTCCTTCAGTACCCTTGCTTCTTGGTCATATATACCTGCTGAAATGGTTGAATGATGATCAGTTCTTTTTGGTACAGTGACTGTGTATTCCTTCCAACTTCTTTTGACACTTCCTGTGTTGTTCAATATTTTGCCCATTGAAACTTTCTGTATTGCACCTCAAGACTTCTTTCAGTATGAAAAAATGCCAAGTGTGTTCTTCATTTTGGTTTTCTAACTCCAGGTTTTTGTACAATTCATTGTAATACTTTGTCTTCTCAAGCTGCCCTTTGAAATCTTCTGTTCAGCTTTTTTATTTCATCATTTCTTCCACTTGCTTTAGCTACTCTGCATTCAATAGCAAGTTTCAAAGTCTCATCTGACATCTGTTTTGGTCTTTTCTTTCTTTCCTGTCTTTTTAATGACCTTTTGCTTTCTTCATGTATGATCTCCTTGATGTCATCTCACAATTCGTCTGGTCTTTGGTCACTAGTGTTCAATGTGCCAAATTTATTCTTGAGGTGTTCTCTAAATTCAGATGGGATATAATCAAAGTTGTATTTTGGGTCTCATGGAGTTGTTTCAGTTTTTTTCATCTTCATCTTGGGCTTGCATATGGGAATTGATGATCTATTCTATAGTCTACCCTGGTCTTGTTTTGACTGATGATATTGAGCTTCTCTACCGCCTCTTTCCATACATGTAATCGGTTTGATTCTTGAGTATTCCATCTGATGTGGCACATGTATAGTTAATATTTATATTGCTGAACGAAGGTATTTGCAGTGAATAAGTCATTGGTCTTGCAAAATTCTATCATGCAATTGTCAGCATTGATTCTGTCCCCAAGACCATATTTTCCAACTATCAATCTTTGTTTCCAGCTTTCATATTCCAATCACCAGTGATTTTCCAGTGCATCTTTCATCAATTTCAGACTGCAGAAGTTAAAAAAATATTCTCTTTCTTCATTTTGGCTTCAGTGGTTGATGCATAAATTTGAATAATAGTCATATTAACTGGTCCTATTTGTCTGCATATGGGTATTATCATATCACTGACAGCCTTGTACTTCAGGATGGATCTCGAAGAGCAACTTGGGATTCAGTGAAAAATGCAATAAAAAACGTCATAGTAGACCATGTGATTTTCTGATTCAAAAAGGCCTATACCAGTCCATTTCAGCTCACTAATGCCTAAGGTATCCAACTTTGTGCATTCCATTTCAGTTTTGAGAGTTCCAATTTTCCTAGATTCATACTTCTTACATTTCATGTTCCAATTACTAATAGATGTTTGCAGTTGTTTCTTTTCATTTTGAGTGGTGTCACATCAGCAAATTAATGTCTTAAAAGCTTTATTCCATCTACATCATTAAAATTGATTCTACTTTGAGGAGGCAGCTCTTTTGAATATTTTGAGTGCTTTCCAACCCAAGGGATTAATCTGGTACTATGTCAGACTGTGTTCCACTGCTATTCATAAGGTTTCCAGTGGTCAGTTTTTTTCAGAAGTAGACCACCACATCTTTCTTGTTTGTCTTAGTCTGAAAGCTCCACTGAAACCTATCCACCATGGGTGACCCTGCTGGCGTTCCAGCATCACAGTAACATACCATTCACCACGGTGAGATAAATGGAAAGATGAGTGGTGGTTACTTATTATACTTACCACAACATACTATACTAAACAATACAATTTGAGAGTCCCTAGTAACAGCATGATTTACATCAATGGCCTTTTCACCTTTTGATTTACTCTCTGGTTATTACAGCCAACATATGGGCCATCATAAACCTGCTTTATGCCAGATCCAGGTCAGTTAAGTGTGTTTAGCCACAAGAAAGCTTTCTGTTATTAGGGCATCACACACTTAGAGTAATCTTTGCTTGAATGTGTGACCTACAGCAGGACATCATGGCAAATGGCACATTTGCTGTCTTCCAGCAGAAGGAGAATCAGCAGGCAGATGACTGAAAGCAGCAGTCTGAGAGAGCTCAGTGACAGTCAAGATGGAGAGGTGCTGACTTGGAGACATTAAAATGCACTATGTCTAATTTTTCTCTCTTGAAGAGCAACTTGGGATCCAATGAAAAATTATATACTAATAGAAATGTAATGATTTGATTTTGTGGCTGGAACAAAAATACATGTTGAAAAACTTATAATTTAATTTAGGCTTTCTAGATAGTAGGTTCAATGTATAGATGCTAGACTAAGCATTAGGTATTAAGATAGTCACCAGCTTTAAAAGATAACATTTGGAAAATAAATGGTCAACAAGCAATTTTTATCCAGGAAAGAAAACTTGTTACCCTCTCTCCCAGAATATGTTAATATTTCTCAAAATTTTCAAATAGGTACTCACCTCTGACACGTGTTCCTGTAGCATCAGTCCTTTGAATCCCACCAGCTAGCACCATTGCCACAGCAAGCTTTACTAGATACATCCCAAATACTTGAGGGCACAAGCTGGCCAATATTTCATTCCTTCCTAGGAGAAGCAGAAAGATAAGTTGCTAGTGATTTCCAGGAAAATCTAAAGTTTCTCTTCCCATCTGACATGACCACCCTGAAAACACATTTTCTACCACCTAAAATGACTTGAGAGGACCATTTTCAAATGACTGAAAAGAGTAAACAAATGGCTTTGTTTTGGTCCTGTACATTCTTTTCTTACTATGCCATGAGATCAAAAGTCTGCTTTCTCATTTCTGGGTGCTACTTCCTTAAATTCCCATATACTTTATCATACTTTAGAAAAGACAGAAAGATGCAAATCTCCCTCTCACCTGTATCAATTACCTATCAGGTGAATATTATCCCTCAAAAATAACTGACTGTACTTTCTGTGACTTTTGGTAAAATTACTGTTATTGTTAGGAGTCAGTTTTTCAACTCGATGACCAGCTACGAGTAAGTGTTTGTACAACAGAGCACAGTACACTGCCTGGTCTTGTGCCATTCTCACAATCATTACTCTGCTTGAAGACCAGTGTCGCAGCCACTGTGTTAAGCCATTTCATTGAGGGTCTTCCTCTTTTTTGCTGACCCCTTACTTTACCAAGCATGATGTACTTCTCCAGGAACTCATCCTTCCTGATAACATATCCAAAGTACATGAGATGAATGAAGTCTTGTGATCCTCCATTAAGGAGAATTCTGGCTGTGCTTCCTCCAAGATAGATTGATTTATTCTTCTGGCAGTACATGGTAGTCAATATCCTTCACCAGCACCGTAATTCAAAGGTATGAATTCTTCGTCGGTCTTCCTCATTTGCTGCCCAGCTTTTGCACGTCTATGAGGCAGCTGAAAAGGCCATGGCGTGGGTCAGGTGCACCTTAGTTCTCAAAGTGACATCTTTGCTTTTTAACACTTTAAAGAGGTCTTTTGCAGCAGACTTGCCCAATGGAATATATCGTTTGATTTCTCCATTGCTGTTCATGGAAGTTGATTATGGATCCAAGTAAAATGAAATCTTTGACAACTTCAATATTTTCTGTTTATCATGATACTACTTATTGGTCCAGTTGTGAGGATTTCTGTCCTCTATGTTGAGGTATAATCCAAACTGAAGTCTGTAATCTTTGACCTTCATCAGTAAGTGATTCAAAGTCTTACTCACTTTCAGCAACAAATGCTGTGTCATCTGCATGTTGTAGGCTGTCAGTGATTCTTCCTCTACTCCTGATGCTGCATCCTTTGTACAGTCCAGCTTCTCAGATTACTTGCTCAGCATATAGACTGAATAAATATGGTGAAAGGTTGTAAACCCTGATGCGCACTTTGCCTGGCTTGAAACTATGCAGTATCCTCTTGTTCTGTTCAAACAACTGCATCTTGGTCTCTGTATAGGTTCTGAATAAGCATAATTTAAGTGTTCTTGAATTCCCATTATTTGTGACACCATCCATAATTTGTTATAACCACCACTATCAAATGCCTCTGCACAATCAGTGAAACACAGGTAAACATCTTTTGGGTATTCTCTGCTTACAGCCAAGATTCATCTGACAGCACAGTGATATCCCTCTTCTCACATCCTGTTCTGAATCAGGCTTGAATTTCTGTCAGTTGTTGATGTAATGCTATAATCGTTTCTGAATTGTTGTTGTTGTTGTTAAGTGCCATCCAGTCGTTTCCGACTCATAACGACCCCATGCACAGCAGAACGAAACACTGCCCGATCCCGCGCCAGCCCCACAATCCCTGCTATACTTGAGCCCATCATTGCAGCCACCGTATCA